CTCTCATACTCTGGCCTTGAGGTACATGGCTTTGTCCCATCATACCTTCCCCTCCATTGATTTGCTGCCTCCCCCAGGCCCAATAGCCATGGGGACAACTAATGCTGGACTGAAAACTCTAAAACTATGAGCTCATCCTGCTTTTCTCTTCATAAGTGGATTTGTCTCAGGTATTCCTTACAGTAATGAAAAGTTGACAGACACAGGCTTTGACGATTTCCTTCCCCTTATCTACATCATAGGGGGCCAGTGGAAGATTCTCAGCCTCAGGAAACCTACTGAGTACTAATTTTTAATTCCTTGAACGCTCACCATGGGCCAGACTCTCTTGAAAAAAATGCTGTACAGCTGTAATGTCATGTGATCATGACACCCAAAGCAGGCACTCTGGTCACTACAACTTGCAGATGAGGTAACAGAATTGTCTCAGGTATTATTTACAGTAATGCAAAGTTGACTGACACTGTCTGTGACAAAGTCCTTACCCCTATCTACATCACAGGGTGCCAGTGGAAGGCTCTCGGCCTCAGGAAGTTTATTGAGTAATGACTTTGAATTTTTGAACACTCACCATGGGCCAGACTCTCTTGAAATGCTGTACAGCTTGTCATGTGATCATGACACGCACAGCAGACACCCTGGTCACCCCACCTTGCAGATAAGAATCAGAAGCACCAGGACCTCTGTGGTCATTCAGTGGCAGTGTGAGGGCTGGGGGTTCCAGACAGGTGGTCTGGTCCTGAGCTCATGGTTCACCCACCACCTTATCAAACATTGTGTTTTAATGTAGTGTAGCACAAGACCATGGGATTTGATTTTTGCTTCCAAATCCCTGAGGCATCTTATGGTCATCATGAATGGTCTAGAGACCCCAAGATTATTTTGATCTTGTTTCTTTTCTTTCTTTGTTTTTGAAGGAAATAAGAGGGTCTTCTTTTAATTTTTAAGTGAAATTAGTAAGTGAGGGATATGTTGCCTGATTTATGCACCATATACAGCTTCTGCCAATGGGTGTAGACAATGCTGGAATAAGAGGAATAAGAGGAAGAGGGTTTGTGGTTTATGACTCCTAAGCTCTTCTGCTTCTTGCCTATATTTAACAAATAGCTCTTTTTTCCATTTTGTAAATTTGTTCTACTTAGTTATACATGACAGCAGAATGCATTTAATGAATTGTACACAAATAGAGCACAACATTTCATTCTCTGGTTCTACAGGATGTAGAGTCACACCATGTGTGCAATCATGTATATACCTAGGATAATGATGCCCATCTCATTCCAATAGGTATGCGTGTGCCTCTACAGTTCTCCTAATATACTGAATTCAATTCTTTAAGATAAATACCAAGAAGTATTGGAATTGATCACATAGTATTTCTGTTTTTACTTTCTTGAGGAAGCTCCACACTGATTTCCATAGTGGGTTTACTAATTGACGTTTTCACTAAGAGTGAGTAAGGGTTCCTTTCCCCCACATCCTCACCACCATCTGTAGTTTGTGTTCTTGATGATTGCCATCTGATAGGAGTGAGATGGCATCACAATGTGGGGGTAACTGTAGGGAGGAGTGAGCTGGCGGAAGGAAGTAGGTCCCAGGGGTATGGCCCTGAGGACTGTATTTTGTTTCTGATCCTCATGTGCACTGGCTCTTCCCACCACGACCTTTCTTCCTTTCTCTCTGTCTTCCTCCATCCCTTTATTTCTTCTCTCTCTCTCTCTCTCTCTCTCTCTCTCTCTCTCTTCCTCTTTCCTCTCTCTCCCCCCTCCCTCCCTCCATTCCTTATTTATTCCTTGCACTGACCTCCATGGACTGAGCAGCTGTTCACCACATGCCCTCCTGCCATGGAAGTCCTGCCTTGGTGCTAGCTGACAATGGACTGACCTGAGAAACTCTGATCCCAAATAACATTTCCTCCTCTGAGTTGTTCTTGTCAGGAACTTGATCGGAGTGATACAAACTTGACTAATGTAGAGGGGCAGGGGTTGTCATCCAGAGGAGCAATAGTGGACTAATTGTGTCTTTTAATTCTTTATTTGAGGCCACATAGTTATAAGGAAGAGACTCTTAGCCTGCCAATGGTTGCAGCACTTCAAAGTCCAAGCACATTGCCCAGGGGGGATTTGTAATCTCAAATTATTTCTTTGGGCATCTAAAGGAGAGAGGGCTCAAATTGCTCTTTTTCCTGTTCTCCTTGTACCAGGAGTCACCTATCACCTTGGATGGCAGCCATGGATGGGGTGGGAGGTGGAGATCAGAAACAGCAATGAAGCAGCAGAGAAGGGGCTGCCCGCAGAGCAGCATGGACATTGAGGGGTGTCATGGATGGCCGTGGTTGAGAGCAGGACCACGTGAAGTCAAGAGGGAAGAGAAAGAGTCACCTCTCACTAAGGCCACTCCAGCATGTGCAGCACACTGAACAGGCTCATCCAGCTGTTGTGTGGCCCTCTGCTCCCTTGAATCTCACAGGAGCACTCAGCAGTGGACACTCAGCTCCTAATGGAACTACACCCTCCATCAGGGGTCCTTCCTCAAATCACTTTCTCACACAGTGCACTGGTAAAGAGCCAATTCTCATGGTGTGGTTTTCCATATTCCAATGGTAGGATGATTCTGCAGCTGGGGTCAAGGCTAGGAACTGGTATTCCAGTGTGCATTCTTGGTTTGGGGACAGAAGCAGCACTGTAAGGTGGAGAGTGTGTTAGCAGCTCTCAGAAAAAGCAACAGAGAGCTGCACAATCTAGGGCACAAGAGAGCCAGTGGGACAAAGATCTGTGCAACATGGTGGAGTCATTGGGGACAGCCAGGGAGTGAGGCATGAGCAGTCAAAAGCCATGCCCCAGGGACTTTGCACCTGACTTCAGAATGTCCCTTCCTCATCTCCACCGTGTGGTCAATGGGAGGGTTGATCCCACTGATGAGCAACATAAGGATCACCCCAACAGAGCTGTGGGAACTGAACCTGGAAAGACACCAGAAATTAAGGAATTTTCAGGAACAGTGTTCCTTGAGAGAACCCCTGGGCAAGTGCCTTGTTGGGGTTGCAGAGCACAGAAGCCAAAATCGTGAGGGATTTCATAGGTGTGTGAATGTCACTAGATCCCAGTCCAGGGACAGCAATAAGGGAACTCATGGTTGAGAACAGCTTATTTAATTAATGTATCTGTTGACTGAATAGGGTGTTCACATCTGCTTGTGGGGATATTGAGGCATCAGGAAGTTTTAAACGTTTGTGATACCACAGATCTTTATTTTGTGGTACAACTTGTCCTCATAGCTAACATCCTTTCACTTCAACCTAAAGGCTTCCATTAGTATTTCTTGCATTTCTAGACCTGCTTGTTTTCATCTATCAGGGAATATCTTCACTTCCCATTCTTATTGGAAGGACAGTTGTGCTAGGTATAAAATTCTCTACTTCCTTCATCCCTCCCTCTCCTCTCCCTCTTTCTCTTCCCTCTTTCCCTCTCCCTCTCTCTTTCTTTTCTTCTTTTGACACTTTACATTCATCATCATACTACCTTGCTTTCCTGTCATTAAGAACTTGATTTAAAAAAAAAAAACCTTAGGAGGACCTCCTGTGTAGGATGAACATGCCTCTCTTTCTACTTAAATATTTTTTCTTTTACTTTATGTTTGGCAGTTTGGTTTATAGTCTCAGAGTGAGTTTGCTTGAGTTTATGATTCCTGGAATTTGTTCAGAATTTGTTAGGTTACTACATTCATATACTTGATCATATTCAAGATTGTGGAAGAAATTTCTTTTTCAAGTAGATTTTGCCCTACTTTTTTTCTTTCTCCTGTCTTCTGTGGTTCTTTTATGTGTATCAGTGCACTTGCTGATATCCTGAAAGGAATTCAGTTCATTTTTAAGATTCCTTTTTTCTTTTCAGAATTGCAGACTCAGTAATGGCAATGATTCATGCTCCACATTTTGGGAATTTTTAACTGCCTGTTCAAACCTATGTTAGAACCTCTAATGAACTTCTGGATTAACTGAGTTTATCAACTTCCAAACTTCTGTTTGGTTCCTTTTTATTCTCTTTTTCTCTCCCTTCCTCTGCCCCAACTTGATGTTTTCAATTTGCTATTAATATTCCAGATTGCTATTTTATTTGTCCATATTTTCCTAGAGCATGTTGGAGAGAGCTGCTTCACAGTGGTAGTCTCTTATCAGGTTGGGCCCAATAGAACACTAGAGTCCTAATGAGAAGGATGCTGAAGGGTAAGAGATAGGGAAGAACTTGGAATGGTAGAGGCAAAAGGGTGGAATAACAGGGGGACTGGAAACAACGGGAAGCAGATCAGCCACCCTCCTTAATGTGGAAAGCAAAAAACAGCGTTGTAATGAAACACAGCTCTCTTGAGGACACCTGGGTGATTCCCAGTGACAACAAACTTGAATTTTTCGTATTCACAAACATAACATGATAGATTTCTGGGTTTTAGGCACCAGGTTTGTAGTCATTTCTCATAGCAACATTAGAAAACTTAAATTATGTGATTATATTTGGGGAGATACTTTAGGACCTTCGGAAATATTATATTTTTAATTTAGCTGCAGGTTCATTGTTGTATGTACCATGATCACTCCAGAATGATGGAGAAAATCCTATCATGAGCTGAGATATCTGTGGAACAGGGAAACTGAGCCAGAGATCACAGTCAAATGTGGGTCCCCCTAACTGTACCCACCACTTCCCCCACAACTCAGGAGTCTCAAGAACCACATGACCCCACTCAGTGTCATGGTCCATGAAGTAGCAGTGACCTTGTGGTCAGAAAGGGAAGAGCAACAAACAGTTGGTGACACATGAGAGCTCAGGGGAGGGCTCAGGCCCTCAAGTCCCTTCCCTCCACCTTGCTCAGGGCTCTGGGCCTCAGGGGCAGGTGTCTCACAGTGTGGAGGTGCAGCCAGGGGAGGCTCAGTGTGAGGACACACGCCCTGTGCTGAGCTCAAGGCCACTCTGTGGGCACTCAGTCAGTGACAGGCTTTGCTGATACCACGTGATAAACCAAGGGGATCCCCAGGATGAGCAGTGACCACCCTGTGTCTCCCCCAGGAGCGGCTGCACAGGAGCTGCAGGTGATCCAGCCTGAGAAGCCAGTGTCTGTCGCTGCTGGAGAGTCGGCCACTCTGCACTGCACTGTCACCTCCCTGCTCCCTGTGGGGCCCATCCAATGGTTTAAGGGGGCAGGGCCAGGCCGGGAGCTGATCTACAACTACTTCGGAGGCTACTTCCCCCGAGTCACAGATCTCTCGGATACCACAAAGAGGGACAACAAGGACTTTTCCATCCGCATCAGTAATGTCACCCCAGCAGACGCCGGCACCTACTACTGTGTGAAGTTCCAGAAATCGACCCCTGTTGATAAGGAGTACAAGTCTGGACCAGGCACCGAGTTGTCTGTGCGAGGTGAGTGCAGCTGCCTCCTCCTCCCTGGGGTGGGACAGGAGGTCAGGGGTCACGCCCTCCACCCTGGGGGCCACAGCTGAGAAGCAGGAGCAGCACTAGGTGCTCATGTCATGACCTGCTGTCACCCCTTCTGCAGGTCAGGGAGGCAGGGGCCTGTGGAGGCCGTGCTATGTGGTCCAGGCTCCATGGCTGGTAAATGGGGGGCACCTGCACCCCTCACCTGCCTGCTCCACAGCCCTGACCTTTTCCAGTCTGGCCTGCCCTGTGGCTCCCCAGCTGAGGGCTCTGAGGGTTTGAGGGACTTGCCAATCACAGAGCCAGAGCATGTGTGCTGCCTGCAGAGAGCACTGCCCTTCTGTGGGTGGGTTCTCTTTTTGCCACAAGCACCCAAGTTTGACTGTGTGCCAATTCGTACTCTAGATGCTCTCAAAACAGCCAGGAGAAGCATAAGCTAAAGTTCTTCTCCCACCAGGCTAGTATTCCTGTCCCATCCTGAGGACCAGACCCTCCAGAGCATGGCCCTTGTGTCTCTAGGATGGGATCTCACAGGTACCATAGGGTAGAAGAAGTGCTGGGTCACTCACCCAGGAAGCATTACCAAGGATGGTGACACAGGGTTCCCAGTTCTGAAAGCAAAAGTGCTCACTGTTTGTTTCTTGCAAGAGGCCCTGCATGCCCCTCCTAAGCCATGAGGCTGAGGTGGTCAGCACAGTATTGATCTTCACACCTGTGCCCACCC